GTGGTGATAGCCAGAATTAGGGGCAAGTGTGATTTTGTCTCTGATAGACTGGTGCAGGGTCATTGCACTGAGTGCGGTGGGGATTCCAACACATACTCGTGCATTGCAACAGCTGAGGTCATACACTAATGTGTTTAATTATCATTGAGTCAATTATGCATTTAAGTCGTATCTGTGTACATACTGTCAAGACCTCGGAGTCCCAAAGAATACTCCAGTGGAATTACTGGAATCCAAATATATTCCTCCCTTACTCACTGTGTAAACATAGCCACACCCTAATACCATAGTCACTGCCCTTGCAAAGACAGTGAGTCTTTCCCGCCCTGCTAATCTATTGCATGAGGAGCTTAAATGTGTTGGGCAGCACCACGTGTTCCTGAGATGGGCCACTGGGAATGATGCCAGGTAAAGTGAGGGGCTGGTGCTATTCCTACTCCTGCTCCTGTTCATTCCCATGAGATGTCTACAGGTTTACATACTGTCTGCATCCTGGGGGACTGTACAGTGCCCTACAGGAAGGAGAAATATGCACATATCAGTGGGAAGCCCCATTGCACTGGACGTGATGGCCATATACCTGCCACACCAAATTACTGACGCAGGTGAACCTCTCAGTCAGGCCGGCACCTGCCGGTGAACCCCATGCTGAGTGTCTTTTACTGGGAGTGGAGCCCTTGGCCCCAGGAAATGTCAAGCTGACACCATTAACTGAATGGGATGCATGATAATCACATGGCTAGTGGTCTTGAGTGAGGCCTTAGGTTTGGAAAGACACACACATGTGCTGGATTCTGTCAAGGTGAGTTGCTGTACCTCCCAGAGTCAAAGGTCTCAGTGAATTTGCCATCACATGACTCCTAGACTCAGTTAAGGAGCCCTGTTGAGGTCACTGCTGGTAACTTTTGTTCACAGACTTCAGATTAGGCAGAGGGAGGACCTCAGTCTGCCTTGGTGGGTGAAAGTACATGAAGTTGGGTGATGCGTGTCATCCAGCCACGCCACTGTGGCCACTTAGTTCATGGACCATCTGGGCAGTACTGGAGTCACTGGCTGCACAGGATGACTGTTGTCCACTGGCTAATTCCATGCACGTGACTGTCAGTGGAATTCCACAGGGAGAGCACTCTGAAGACGCCGAGATGCAATGCACAGGTCTTCTCGCCAAGGCCAGACGACACACTCATAACTAACCCACACACTGGTGACAGGTCCTGCCTGCAGGGAGAAAGAACTATGATGGTGAATTTTATTACCTGGTAACACGCTCCCAGTTTCACATGAACCCTTAAAATTAAACAAGAAATGTTCCACAGGTGGCCAAGGTCTCAACAGGGGCATAATCAAGGACACTCTCAGTGGTGCACACAGGCAGGGCCCACCTCCCACACAGGCTTCCATCCAATCACTGCACCAGGTCCTCTCACAGGGGACTGGGGAACAGTCTTGTGTGTGATTCTCTGTCGTACTGGCTGTGGGAGGTAAATTATGGTGTGATTTAAGTCTGTTATCTGCCATGAATTAATTTTTGTCAGTGGTGAGCAGAAGAATTATAGAAGGAAATATAGGAAAAGCTCTTCTACATGTAAGCTTATGCTGGGAGATAGCCACTCTCCCAGAAAAACAAGTCCCAAGGCTGGATCATTGCATTAGATTTGGAAATAATAGTAATAGAGAAATAATATAGATGGAGAAATAATTGAAACAGAGACAAACTGCAGCTTAAAGTGATAAGGGAGTCAGGCGTCCTCCAGCATTCCCGTGGGCTGAGGGGGCCTGAGTGAAATCCCACATCAGTACATATTGTTAAAGCAAATGTTGTCTTTTGTTAAAGAATGATGTGCACAGCCCATTATTTGAGGTTTCCAGGGGATCCTTACCTAATTCTGTCTAAAAGAATTGACGGTTACAAATTTTTCTGAGATAAACATTGTAAGGCCTAAGTTAGAGGCAGACGTAGCAGAGCATATAAATTAAAGATAAAATGTATAAAATGAGAATGCTGAGTCTGTGTACTACTCTAATCTACTTCTTCTAAACACAGAGACATGTAGTCAGGAGTAAAGCAGGAATAGCCTCGAAGTCTAGGATAGTTCCAGCTGCACGTTATCTGCTGGGCAGGCATTTTAATCAGCTTCTCGACCACAGACCCACACCAAGCTCTGCCTTACAAAAAAGCTCAGGGTGATGGCCGGCAGCAAAGAGGAATTTTTCCATGCAAACATAGTCT